ATTTCTATCACTGGAAAAAGAGCCCTTCACAGTGGGGCTCGCCTCAGCCACCGAGAGCTGAGCGGAAGCCGAAGAATCTTCAGTGGCAGGCAAAACAGGAGAAATGGCGGCGGCAGCAGCAAGCGGCTCGGTGACAGTACCGATCGCAGTGACAGCTGCAGCAGGCGCAGCAACAGCAGGAACAGAACACTGAGGCAGGGGCGCGTGCATAGACTCAGCAGAGGCAGTGGGCTGCGCCTCGAGGGTACAAACCACCGAGGGAACAGAGGCCTCAGCAGAACACGACGACCCAACCTCAGGATCTGCACATCAGTTGCTGCATGCGTGTGCACCATGGTCAGGGCTGCCGCACTTCATGCACAGATGCAGCCCTTTCTCACACTGCAACCCAGCAGGGGTCTGCCAAGTCTCACGCTTGCAACCGTGAGCCAAGTTGCGATCAAAACACAAAGGCGTGCCATCCTTGTTAGGGTCCAAGCCTTTGAGGGCAGCAGGAACAGCAGTCTGCTCAGCAGGGGAACCGGGCTTGCCACCACCGGAGGTCTTGCCCCCCTTTCCCCGGCCACCTTTCTCTTTGCCTTTGCCAGGACGGTTGTCCTTGCCATCGCCCTTGCCCGTCTTGCCCGGAGGCTTGGTGGGATCATCAAGTGCACGCTTCTTCTCACGGGCCATGATATGAAAAGCAACAGCAGGGGCACCAGCTGCAGCAAGCAGGGCAGCATCGACCTTGGTAGCAACGTCCACAGCAGGCAAACAAGGAACCTGAGCAGCAACCTGTTGCCAGACAGCACGATCAGCCGCCAGCACGGCGTCAATGCCAGGAGCAGAGTACCCAGGCGGAGGCATGCGCTGCAGGTGGTCCAACAGACCACGCACGTAGTTCTCGTGCACAGCAAAAGAACAGACGCCAGCGACCTCCAGGGCAACACCTCGCCGGCTCAGTGCCTGATACAACCTCAGTTCATTGCCAAGGTCAACCTTAGGCAGCACAGGCTTCTTGGCAGCTTTCAGGGCAGTGGCCTCAAGGCGAAACAACGTGTCATCACGCCGTTCTGAAAGAACCTCCTGCTCACGAGAGCTGCACTTGCTAGGCGGCAAGTACCGCACAGAGCTGTCAGCGACCATCCCAAAAGCGGCATCAATGAGAACGTGGCTCGGCTCGAAGGAGCCAGTGATAGGCCACGCTCCTAGTTTGGCACGCAATGCATCCATGCGACTGGCCCGTTCCTGAGAAGTCAATTTTTTGGAGCCATCGTCCTCGCCTGCCACTGAACTCCTAAGCTCGGCGACCACGAAGGTCCCGGCCTCAAAGAGGAGTCGCGAAAAAGCGGCGACCACTCCTTCAGAAGCCCCAGCACCCAGGTGCTTCTCCTTGGCCGCCTTAAGCCTAGCCTCGTCCACAGCCCCAGGCGCACTCGCCACGGCGAAGAGCAAGGCAGAGTACGTGTTGATGCCAGAGGCAGACAAACTGTCGAGCACACCCTGACTCAGGCCGTATTGCCGAGCTTTGCTAGCGAACGTCACCGCGCTATCTGCCACACTCGCCATCTCACACGCAGGTGCAGCTAAGGTCAGAGGCACAGCCCAGACCAGCAGCACCAGAACCAGAGACCTGCCAAGACTCAAGTCAGGCAGGCCCAGCAGAAGAAAGCCGACCTCGACCACAGTGGCCAGAGAAGGTCAGGCAGCCTGCACAAGCAGGAGTAACACCAAAAACCATCAGCCAGGCAGGGCCCAGCCTGGTACAGCAGGAGAGACCTGACACTAGGTGCCAAGAGCAAGGCACAAGCCTGGGGAGCCGACCAGATTCAGAACCAGGCGGCAGCCCAGGATCCTGCACAAGCAGGACGTGCACAACGCACACAAGTGCCAGACCCGCCTCAAGGCGAGAGGCGTCCCAGCAGAGCCAGAGCCCCACAGGAGACCTGGATTGCTGAAACAGGGGCTCCAGAAGAAGGCAAGGCACAAGCCACCAGGGCCCAAGCCCGTGGAGCCGCAACCTGCGACCAGTAAGGAAAAAACTCTCGCAAGAGAGGCAGGTGACCACAGCCCGGCCTCAAGGCCCTAGGAAGCAGGGACCCCAAAGCCACAAGGCAGTGAGCCAAACAGGCTGCAGAAGTACAGTCAGAGGGCCAGCGCCCAGGCGGCAGTCGGACACAAGTCGACTAAAGCGCGAAGGCACATTCTTTCAAAAAGCAGCAGGCAGCTCAGTTATCACGACAGCGGTCGCAGAAGTGTCGCCTATGCGGCCGACGTGCCGTGTCGGAGACGGGGCGACTGCAGGCATGGCCGCAGTCGCCCCAACATGCTGTGCTGCACCAGCCAGTCAAACTGTGGCCGTGACGCTGCAGATCAGCAGGAAGATCACGCAGCGGCATCCTCAGAGGAAGGCACCGCGTCAGGTCAAGTGGAATGCCCGCACGCACGTCACATGCGAGCAGGTACGGGCAATTCGCCGTACCAGTCATACGAAGCCTCGCAAACTGAGGAGCATTCGCGCCACCAGTTGCAAGGCCAGCATGCACAGTGAGACCTTGGTACCCTGCCCAGGGATGAGCAGCGGCAACAGCATGGCCCGTCGGAAAAGACGGCGGAGGCGTAGCCACAGTTGGCGTAGCAAAGGCTGGAGCTCCAGCGCCCAGGCCTGGTGGATCTGCAGGAGGAGCCAGCGGTGGGTCGTCGACGGAAGTGTCCTCAGGGACCAAAGGCTCGGAAGACAACACAGGATCCGTGCCATCGTCCAGGCCGTCCATGGAGTTCAAGTCGACGACCGAAGTCGCCGGCCATTCCCACGGTGCCAAGTCCCCAACCCCACTGCTGGGCTCGGAAGACACCTCCTCAGATGCCAAAGCAGCAACAAGGGCAGCAGACCCAGCCACAGTGGCACCAGCATCGGCAGGGGCTCCATCAGGGCCAGTGTCCTCAGGCGAGGCAGGAATAAGCTCGGGCGAGGAGTGAGCTGAGAGCTCACCAGACTGCCCCACAGCCGCAGAGCCACCGTCATCAACCACAGTGCCAGCACCTTGGTCAGCAGTGCCCGAACCAGCACCAGCGGCAGACACAACCTCAGAAGTGGCACCAGCAGGTGCACCAGAGGCAGCCTCAGGACTGGCAGGAGCAACCGAGACAGGTTGTGCAGACGCAGAGGTGGTGTCACCGTTCAGGTCCAGCAGGTCAGGCGCCAGTCCAAGAAGATCAACATGAAGATCCCTAGGCTGAGCCTCAGTAACACCAGCCGCCGGGCAAGGGGGCAAGTCATACTCACTCGAGCCCTCAGTGTCATGTTCGAGATGGCTGAGCTGGATGTTGTCACGGCAGAAGTAGTACAGCCTCAGTGATTCAGCAGCAGGTAGAGCCGCTAGTGCTGCAGAAAGGTGCTCATCGCTCGCGCGGGCAGAAGCCCTCAAGCGGCGAACCAGCACACGCAATGGATCCACCGACATGATCGGCAACAGACCCAACACAAAACAAGCAGCACCAGTCAACAGAATAACAGCACTTAAGCCAAAATGGCCGCGCGATGCATTAAAGTCGCATGTCAAGACATAGCAAACATAATATTTGCGGCCGCGTTTAAAGAAGAAGTGCAGGAGCCTGGTGAGACAAGGACTCGAGGACCTCCGACTCAACCTGGCCAGGAAAGCACTCAAAACCGTGCACTACGACTGCTGCGGCATCCCTTCGACTTTCATAGCGACTTCGCTCTGCACAGTTACTCCCCATAGACTCTGACGCTTCCAGTTCAATGTCTGTTCCCTTGCACACGCTCATGCAGGAGTCTCGCAGCATGCAGGCCACATGTGGAATAAAGTACAACCAACCAAGCACTCAATTAATTAGGCTTTTCCGTGATCTTCGCACCCCGTCTCGCCTTTAGCAGCTTCTCGCCGGACGGAAGCGTGCCTCAGGTCAGAGCTCAATCCGCAACGAGGTCTGGAGAGCTCGACCGAGGTCTCGGCAGGTTGACACACCATCCGAGGACAGTTTCCGGTACTGCGGTGCGGGACTCACATCATGTTCGCAAACTGTAAAGCTGAGCGTCCATGGGTAACTAACTCATGGAAACGTGACTCCACATTTCCCGGAAACTGATGAGCCGTGGCCGCCTGAGTCGGGACTTCATTGGCATGCCTCGGAGTGCGAGAAGCAAAACGGATGAGCGCCACCCCCGTGCACTTTCAGACGAGGTGCAGATCGAAGAGCTCTTCGTACTGGAAGGGAGCAGCCTTGGAGACTGTCAGGACCATGGGCCAAGGCACGAACCCTAAGCTTTCAAGCTTCACCAGGACCCCGACCACAGCAGTTCGTACCTGCCGCCAGCGAGACCAAACTTCGAAACTTCGGATCGAAACGGTGGGCATTTCGCTGATTGTCTGGAAACTCTTCAAGACTCCAAACATAGCGGAGAGAGGTCCTCCCTAAGCTCAATTTCTAATTTGCAGGAACTGAAACGGAAGCTTCCATGAATTAAGGTACAGGAACTGCAAAGGCCCAAGCCTGTGGGGCGATCCGCGATCTTTGCGCCAGGAGCCTCCAACCAACAGAGGGGCTCTTCCCCCGTCCCTCATGGGATGAGGCTCCTCTTAAGGGCACCGAAATTGTAACTTAGAGACTTCCTGTTGCGAGTCCCAGAGACACAGGTCCAGCCCGAAACACAAAAACTCTCCCCACGCTTTGCCTTGAAGCTAAACGTCTGCCACGCAAGATGGTCGCCATGGACCTTGGCAAGAGGCAAAGCAGCTCTGATGTCTCCTTTCAGTCCGTTAAAACCGTAAAAGCCCTTGCAGCGTGTGTGGCAACAGCTGGGCATCAGGCTGGTTTACATCCGCAGAAATACACCAGCAAAGCTGCTGAGAGCCACAAAAAAAAGTGACAGGTTGTGCAACTTGCGCAAGCGTATCGCACATGCCTCATTACCTCCTCAGCTCAGGAATCACATGCATCAGAGCGGTCAGAAGCTGTTGCAGCAGAAGATCATGCAACTTCACCGGTGTCTGAGGCTACTCCCCAAGCAGACACGGGCAGATCAAGACAGCTTCCGTGGCCTCTGCCGAGCCCATGAAGGCCAGGACACCCGCCAGAGCGGCAAGGGGAGCTTTCACCTCTAGCATGGCATACCTCGGTTGCTTCTGCTTAGGTTCTTCAACATGATGCAGCTCTGAGAACAAAAGCTTCTGCATCCCGTAGCTTGGCAAGACCTTGGGCTCGGACCCGAGAATGTAGTAGCTCATGCCGAGCATAAGTTGGTTGATGCCGACACTCATAGACACCCGTGCAAAGGCGTCATACGTCTGCCAGTAGACCGCGGCCTGAGGGAAGCGGAGGGCAACTTGCGGCTGACGGCTGACAGGCAGGTCAAGCCACATGTCACCAGGCAGGACATTTGCTCAGGTTTCATCATATCGCTTGAGCGAAGTGATGGAGTGACCAAGCCTGGCGCAGCAGCTTCACGTGCCTCAAGTTGGCGACCTCGCTCCGGCTCCGAGGCTCAATCTTTTGCGATGGCAACTGTGAAGAGGTGGAGGCCCGGACCTCTGCGCCACTGTAGCAGCCAAGCTCGTAAATTGCATCTCCTGACACCAAGGACGCACAAGGGAGAGGTGGAGCTATGAGAGATGAGCAGAGACGTCGCACCGCACAAAGCACCGAGCAGAGCAGACAGGCGGGGAAACGACAGACTACTAGCCGGAAGGATCGGCAGACTGACAGAGGGTGGGTGGGCACACAGATGCAATTTTACATCGGAACAACAGCGTGGCAACGACGCCGAGCGTTTGCCCATTTTGCCCCCGGTTCAAGAGAGCCTTAGCTTCCAGCCACAGCTCCGAGCTTGCAGCTCACGTTCTATTCAGCCCTTTGTCAGCTACAGTACTGTCTTCTCTGTCCCTGCCTGAAGGCTTGGAGAGCCTTCTCTAGTAGATCGTATCTCTGCCTGGGTCTCATAGGCCTGACTCGTCCGGCTGAGCGGTACCACCTCGCTGCTCAAGGCCCCAGGGGTCCGTGGCCACTCCAGCATAGACCTTTCTCAGTCACGACTATACTGACTATACCGTACCTCTCAAAGATAGTCGTCCGGTGGGTGCTAAGGACAGAAAATCTGAACTCGTAGAAACCTCGCTCGGCTTTCGAACAGTATGCTCTGTCGTCTAAACGGGCTCGCTTCTGCAAGAACTGCATTATTAGCCTTGGGCAAAATCCCCCAGCCGACAAGTCAAACTCGATTTCACCATACCGCAAGGCCTGCTCTGGCCCGCCAGTGTTGCCAGACTCTTCCGGTGGGCACACGTCATCAACGTCAGATGCGGCATGTCCTGTCACCCCCATGATTGATGTACAGGAAGTACAATTTCTAACCATTGCCAGCATCTGCGAACGCCTGCTGAAGACGCAAGGCGGTTGGCACCGCTCTGGGCTCCTGGAACAAAGTCCTCTTGCTTCCCTGTGACGAAAGGCACGCGGAACATTTGCCTTGCCAGAGCGGACACATCTGTCAGCTGACTCTGATGTTTAGTGGGTCCGAGCTCATGGACTCTGCTCAAATCATTGTTTCCATCTTGAAATACAGGCTGTAGCAGAAGTGACAAGCCCATGGTCCTGTTCCATACTGGTTGGACAGTCGGCAGGAGGAGCAAATGCTCTGGCTTTGATGTGTGCGGCAGGTAAGAGGGCGAGACTTTTCAGGAGCATTTTAGCATCGCCACCTCCGATATGTGACAAGCGTTTACCGATTATTGTAGGTCTCGTACAGAGGACGGCCACCTTCGTGTCTCAATTTCTCTCTCCTCTCTGCCTGATCTTTGCTGATCTTATCTTGGCCCTTGCCACACCGGTGCCTCCTGCCCCTGCCCGAAGCTTCCGTGCCGAATTGTGCGAATGACGGCGCTGCACAGCGGTGTTAGTGTCGATGCCGGGCTTTTCCCCATGTTGGATGCCCCGACTCACACCCCGCAGACACCATCATCCTTCAAGTCGATGTTCGTTATCTCTTCACTTTTTGATGATGCCAAAACGTTCCTGGACAAACGGTGCACACTGCACGTTCTAAAAGCTCTCTGTCCAAAAGCCAACTTCAACAAGGTGTGGGCATGCGGACTAGCCTGTCTAATTTCACGACCGCGACCAGGCTCTTTACTCAGTGGCACTTCACAGATGCACTGTGACAACAGCACAAAAAGTCTCGAGGTTTCTACGTCTGCCCAAGTATACAAGAACAGCTGTGGGCAGGTCGCCTGGACTCAACTTTCTCGAACTCCGAGCCCGCAGTACGGGCGGCCTCCGCGCATTGTGGACGGGGAAAGTATCACACATGATTTATGCATTTGCCATCGCCCAAGACATGATCAGAGCTTTCCGGTCCAAGAGTTTCTTCATCTCTGTGATGGGGCTACATTCTAGCATCGTTACCTTCCACTCCAACCAGTCTGATGTAGCAGCTGGTAATTGCTAATGGGACTATCCAAAACCCTTGTGAATCATGGTTTCCTGCTCGGACTTTGCTGAGCGTTAATTTGTATCATTAGTCGGATGCCCCGCATCACCACGGTTCCGCCTTTGGTCCCTGGTTAGGCACACATCTAATCCAATCGAACTGAGAAATATGTCAGACTGCAATACGTTCAATGATAACCTTCTTTACTCGCATGCTTTAGAAAGAACAGAACTTAGTATTATTAGTATTATTAGCAGGATTATTGGTATATAATATTCGTATTGTTTCTGTAGTATAAGTATTAAAGAAGACCAAGACACCTCTAGCTCCGCCCAGGTCGGAATTGGCAGTCGCACCTCAGAGTAGGACGCTCAAGCGCACCGGTGAGTTCGAGAAGTATCTCCCCTAAACCCTAAACCCTCAAAAGAATCTTGATGTGCGTGAATCGCAGTTGCACTGCGATGCTATTATTCTGGAAGGGTCTTCTTTCCTTGCCGCTCAGATGCCAATTGGGTGAGCACCCTGGTCTGATAGCTCTGCGCAGCGATGGCCGCATGCATGGCGAGCCTCGGGAAAATGGAAGGTGCTCGAAGCGGCAAGACACCCAGCTGCAGATTGAGTTCCGATAGCAGAGCCCCGCTGTGAATGATTCTGGTGTGCAGTTGACTGCGAGAAGCCAAGGCAAGTGCCAAATCGTCAGCACCAGGTAGGAAAAGGCAACCACGGAGGCAATCTGATAGCCTTTGCGTCTGCCGAGTCTGCCGATTCCACTTCTTCCACTCTGCTGGACGTTGTTTTCTGGGGGGGCGCACCCATGACCAGCCAGTCCGGAGTGGTTTCTGGCAGCTGACCTTCGACCCACATTGTCACCGTGAAGCTGAGCAGCAGAACCTCGCGGAACCGGGCGGAGACGAAGCAAAGCGTGGGACGCTTCGGGCCGGGGTTTCCCTTCCCCAGAGACTCCAGTATCCCTTAAGTAATAAAGGGATATCCCTGAAATCATATTAGGGATCCTACAGTGTTTTAAGGTATGCTCCGTAATTGAAGGACATAAAGGGACATTCCTTAAATCATATTAGGGATCTTACTATTATTTCTAAGGTATACCTATTCCTTAAGTAAGGGATATTGGAGTCTCTGTGTCCCTGGCATAGTGTGGCCGGTGAGGCCCCTGCATTGATGATGAGATAGAGGGACATCTTCTGCTCTGTGAGGGACACAAAGTCTCGCACGTCCTGCAGTGGGCCCACAAGACTGGGGCGGAATGCTATGCTGACTTGTAGTGTAGAAGCCTGTGGGTATCGGAAGCACAGAACCTTCAAAGGCCCAACCTGCCCTTCTTTTGTCGACATGTTAACGCCTGCTCGGATACGCTGAAGTCCGCATGAACCGACAAGCACAACTCTCAAGGATTCCTGGCGCCAGAGCTGCCCCTGGACGACGCGATACTTGCGCTCATGAAACTCCTTTTTCATACCTGGCCGAAGCGGTGCACCACTGAGCTATATACTGATGGTTCGAGAAGCGTCTCAGTCACCATGCCGAATGCCGAACAGTGAACCAATCGCTCCCTGCAAGAGGTTTGCACGGTCAATCCAGGCCGGAGTCACGCTGCTCGCGATCTTCCATAAAGTTGTCTCGGTTATACTCGAACACCTGGTCATCTAAAGTCGCAACAGCTGCGGCTTTCAAACCAGGTGAGCTGCCAGGCCTTTGTGGCAGCACCTGCCAGTTAGCCGCGGGAGCAAGATATTTATCCATATTGGAATTCTACGCACTTCTGGATCCTCTACATAGGACGAATACAGAATAGAGATCTGCCAGGGTCTCAAGCAGCTACTGCAAAATACAGAAGGACATGGATCGTCGAGGCTGCAACATACACTTGTAGCTAAGGCAAGTCGCGGAAGGCAACTGGCATGTCCACACCCTATGGCCGGTGGTGGAGTTACCAGTTCCTCCTGAAAGCGCGCCTGGCGTCATGCCTGCGGCAGCCACAGCTGCCCCTGTTGCAATCACCATGGCTTCCGGAAGGTGTCAAATCCTGCAGCTATGCCAAACAGTGACGCAGCTTCCGATGTGTCTTCTACATCTCGTATCAATCGTATGGTCGATGCCTTGCATTGCCGGGACCCTTTTAATCTGGGCTCCAGGCAAGTTGCGCTATCAAAGAGGGTTGCAGCTAGAAGCCTCGGCCAACAAAAGCATTTCATGAACTCCCTCCCTTGCATGTTGTAGCCCTCCTTCTAAGGCTTGGCCAACCCAGGCTTTTACCAGAACAACGAGGCGCCTTGCTTAGCAGATGACTACTTTCATTCGCGCGCCTGATCAGCATCCGAGCAAGGTCTCGTGCATTCAAAGGCTGTTGCCTTGCTCCATTGAAGACTCGACATAGATTATGACTTTGGTGATTCAAGAGAATCCACTCCTCATATACTCATGCGTTTCGCCTGGTTCCAGCTCCATTACCCCATTGCTCCATTACGCTCGCCGAAACTTCTGTCTTAGCCAGCTAGATAAGTGTCGGCACATTGAGGGAAACTGGGGCACCGGCTGCGCTTCATGTCCTTGGCTGTTCGGTGGAGGGTGGTTGGATCCATGTCGACTGCTTCTTGCGAGTCAAGACATGCCGAGTCTGCGGCTATGTACGGACGGGTGTGAAGAGAGGGCCGACGCCAGCAGGGATGGCTGGCGTGGACGGACTCGAGTATTTGAACCGCTTTGGCTGCAGCACTTCAGTGAGACAGGGGCTGCAGGCAACAAGGCGGTGCCGACTACATTGACTGTGCGGTGGAACTTGGAGAGCTGCGCGAGCAACGCTGTTTTGATGATGCGACGATCTGTACATCAGAGGCTAGAGCAAACTGGGGGACAGCACGTCTAGCCCAATATTGGCTTCAGCATGGCTTCCACCTCCTGTCAACAAGCTTGCACACTATTTTAGCTTTGACACAGCGACGAGGCAGGTACTGTACTGAGGTTGCTGCAGTCCGCAAGTGTGCGTGTACGAGACATTCGCTTTACTGGGTAGGTTGACAATGTCCACAGACTGCGGTTGTCGCTCTTACAACACGTGACGAAAAGGACTCCAACTGCGACTTCTGATCCCTCCACGACTTTGGGGTTCTACTCCTTGTTGCACAGCTGCTGTGCATGCTCGGTGCAGCAAATTCATATTCTGACAGGGTCTGCTTCCACGTCGCAGACCTTGATTCTGGACTGGCACCGTGTGTATTCGCTTCACCTGAAGTCGCAGCCCTGCTGTTGATTCAAGAAGATATGATATGTTGAGCGGCACTTCCCACTACTGCTAGTCGACGTTTCAAAAGCTTCTGCAACCACTCCACATACAGTAGGCCCTTAGCATGTACACGCACCCTCTCCCCGACACCTCCACATCGCCGCTGAGCTCCAGCATGTCGCAGTTGTAAAACCTCGGCTAAGCACGATGCTCGGGAGATCGATCCTGATATGTCTGATATGTCCTGATCGAACTGCTCCTGTGCCCCAAAACGAGCCAGTCCAAAATACTGAGGAAATCTAAGATCATCTGAAAAAGTCGTGGCATTCCCTTCAGCATCAACTGTCTCACCGACACAACATATACTCACTTCTTTCGATCCGTATCACCCTGAGTCGCTCACCGCTTAATCTCATCGATGCGATGGCGGTCGCGATCCGAAGCCAGGTTGACAGCCAAGCCCTTCTTGCCAAACCTGGTGCATGCTCGCTAGACGTAGCTGAAGCCGACGTAGCATAGCGCCAGGCTCCGGCCTCCCTGTCCGGCCGATCCGGTGCAGGTATGTCTCCATCTTCTCGCTTCCATTCGGCAGGTCGTAGTTCACGACCTGTGCACAAAACAAGATCTGATGTGTCCAATGTCCATGTCCTTTGCTCTTCGTCATGGCTAGTCTTCGAGGCTCTGGCCACCGTCACGGATGGAACGTCAATGCCACGTGACAGCACGTCCGTGGAAATCAGGACCTACGGCGACGGTTCGACGGTGCAAGATCGCCCGACGGTGCAGCCGGTCACTTGGCGCCCGTCCCGTGTGACCAGGTCGCGAAACTCCTGCATGACCTCCAGACACACTTAGCATCGTCTCCGGCTGCCTTTCAACTGCAATTGCTGAATCTGGCAGTGCTCTGGTATGCTGTGGCCTTGTCTCGCTCGGCCACTTCAAGATAGCCTGGTTTGGCTCCAACACTATAACAACTATGAAACAGTGCAGTGCGTTGCAATACGGCGCTTGATCCAGCCTTTCTGGGTCCCCGTGATCAAAGATACCTTGGTGCTTGCACACGGTTTCGAAACGATTCAACACGCGTCTCAGCAGTATCTTGGGCACGTGCTGCGTGCCCACTAGACTTCATGAAGGTGGCAAGATCGAAGGCCGTCTGCCTTTCGCACAAGGGAGCAGCTTCTGCTTGGGCCAGCTGCTACCATGAGGGCCAAGCCTGGTATTCACGAAGATAATGGACTGACCCACATTCATCACGCTGTAGAGCTCGCTAAGCTTGTTTCGCTTGTTGTCGTCTCTTCCGACGTTCATGAACCTTGGAGGCTGGGACTCGTAGAACCAGAGGATGACCAGAATGTGGCCTCACTCCGGATCTGAGGCCTTCGCGTCTGCGTGATGGTTGTCAAAGTCAGATCTTCTTTTTTGACCTCCAGCAGACATTCCATATGCCATGGAAGCTGATCGGAACATCTCGACGGGTCTGAGGGCAAGTGAGGACCACGCGTGGATGATGTTCGGCCTGGGAACCATGGACCTGGGATGGGCAAAGCTGGGCCCCGAGTCTCAGCTTATCAAGAAAACTTAGTCCACGGCTTGGCCAGCTTTGCGACGTAGTCTGGCCACGTCGCCGAGAAGAAAAGGATCTTGCCACGTCACCATAGCGTGATGGTATCAGCGAGCGAGAGTTCGGAGGCTACTGTAAGGCATGTGTTGGCTGCCTGAAGCTCCTTTCGCTGATCCTTGGAGAGCATCCGATGGATGTCCAGCACCTGCAAACCGAAGACCGTGACCACGGCGCTCCTGAAAGTCAAGCCTACACCAACAAATAAGGCGGCCTGCCTGTCCACCCATGCTCTGCTCCTGTCAAACGAGAGTCAACCTGGTTGTGTGCGTGGCATTCGTGATGCGGGATGCCTCATCGATCATCTGGTCAGCCTGTGGCTCGCTGCTGCAGGCAGTCAACCACCAGCTTCTGTTGCGGATCCTCGTCGACGACGAAGATGCGAAAGCCGTTGGGATCGATGATGCGCTTCTTCATCCAGTCCTCCAACATCAGGGCAGGGCCCAAGGCCCAAAGCAGATCGGAACGGGCATCAAATGCTCAAGCCGCAAGCCCACCTGCAGTTTCCCTGGTGTGCCCACCACGACTTGCGCGCTGACCTCAGGCTGCTCCAGCGACCCAATGGATCGGCCCGTGGTTTGCGAGTATCCGGCCAGCGCCCAGGGTCTCAGAGGTTCGGTTTTTTGCTGCTTTGCTGCACTGCTTTAGGTCGCACCGACGCAGGGTCGCCGAGTCAATTCCTTCTCCGCTGTTCGCAGAATCCTTCGTGAACGATTGCAATGGGTTCAATGGGAACGACCGATGCTTCAGGAGGGATGGTGCGTTAATTCACCAACAATGACGTCGCAATCATTGCAGCATTTTGCAAAACACAGAGATGCAACTCGTATCAGATTTACTGGTAAAAGCTGCACCTCCGTGTTAAAAGCAGGATGCTAACAAACTGTGCACCATTGGAATTTGAGACAAGGCGATCCATTGATGGATGAGCCTTGGTGTATCACCGTTAACAGTAAATCAGTCAGGGACCGAGAGAAAATTAAATTACTTCCGGTCACTCCGTGGCAGGGCCTGGCTCCGTCATGGTCCTCGAGTGTTCGAGCTGGAACTGACGTTGATGTTCTCTTCTTGCCGCGAACATGACCAGTCCTGCGCCACATTGGCCTGCGCAGTATGCAAGGAAAAGAGCAGCAGAAACGAGCAACACTTTTCTCAGCTTCTCTTTTACTCTTGTGCTTGCTGTGCCTCACGTCCACTTGCCCATCTGAGCGGCCCAAGCCGCCACCCTAGCAAAACGTTAGCATGTTCGTCGGCAGCAACGTCCCAACGAGGCTACAGCAACCTGGTCGGCAAGCGCCAGCAGGTCCACAGGCTCGGACACTCGAATGCTTCGCACCTTGGCCAGGCAAGACATCCCAGTCCCGTCTCTACTAACTTCCTGCACGGCGCTCACGCTCGAAAGAGGCGGACCTTCGCACTGGCAGCTCGTTGCGAGGGGAGCCGTGCTTGGAGCTCCTGGCAGTACTGCGTGAGAACGTCACGGTGGCACTCTCGCCGTCAGTTAGTACTCACTACAGAGTCGGAGCTGGGACGTTCATGGACAGGCAAAGATGCAGCTGCGGCTCTCTTCAACTCAATGCAATCCTGGAGATCCCGCTCAAGCTGCTGCCTCTGGGCTGCTTCCTCCACAACCGAGCTGATTCGCCGGAGGCTCACGGAGCACCCGCACTCCCATCAGCCTCCTCTGGTGACAAGCTGGCGCTGCTCTCGCTGCCTCGATGCAACTCGTATATGACCGAACTTTCAAGCACATCAGATGCTACTTGATGTTATGAATTACACAGGCTTCGCCCTCAAACACCTCGCGAAGTGACACCGCAAGCAACACCGTTGCACCATGATCAGACCTGTCAGCGGCTTTGACCACCTGACCTGATGAGCATTGGCAGGTCTCGCATCATGGTTATAGCCATCATTGTCCTTGCGAGGTTACCACCACAACGGCCAGCAGCATCAACGTCAGACTTGGCATCATCATCATCATCGTCGTCAGCGTCATCACCATCATCATCACCACCACCCCACTCACAGTCGTCATCGTTCAAACATGACCACACAATCAACTTCACACTCACCCTCTCGATTGCGACCATGCTTGTCGAAATGTCCACGAAGAAGTCAACGATCATGACAAGCAGCACAAGCGCAACTGCTAAGAGTTCTGAGTTCTGGAACCTTGGCTGTCGTACTCCTCATCATCCTCCTCCTGCTCCTCCTCGTCCTGTTCGCTTTCCGCGGCAGCTGCGATCACCGTCGCTGCCTGGAAAGGTTGGGACCACACGACCCTCTCCGCAGCTTCTGAAACCGAGGCTGCGACCTTCTGACCGAATGCAACGTGGCCGGCATCCTGCACCACGACGACACATCCCAAATCCTCCAAGGACCCTTGGCTCTTGAAGGCCTTTGCCCAGGAAGGGCTGCTCTGCCTGCGTTCACTGCGAGTCTCAGGCGCAACGTTCTCGTAACATCGACATCCAGCCTTGAGCTGGAGGAGACCTCACAACCAAGTGCGAGTAAGTTCGCTCCTCGGCACACCTTGAGCCTTCTAACTCCAAATTGCCAGACAAGCGTCGGCACCCTGCAGGCCAGTCCTCACAGGGACGTTCGACACGAAGAAGTTGACAGGCCCCGGCCGCCCAGGCCCAGGCCTCCCATCCAAGAATGCTGTGGCCTCAACGAAGTTTAGTGATCAGCCGATAAGTTCCCAGTGTTCAGTGCGCCATAGGCTATAGGCTCCTGGCCGCTTCTGTGGCGGCCCGAGCTCTGGCATGCAGACTGCCGTCTTCCAGGGCTTCTGCAGAATCCTTCACAGAGATGCGCGCTGTCTCGCGCTGTCTCGCAGTTCCTTACCGTATGACAGAGATGTCGGTCTCGATCCGAGGCGTCTGCCGCGGCTGTGCGCGTGCCCGGACTCCTCCGCCTACTGCATCCGTCCGGGTGAAGCGAAGCCCCAAGCACCGGGAAAAAAAAACTGCTCGCCATCCCGCCTGGAGGGCGAAGAAACCTCAGCAGACCAAACCACTTCCTTGCTGCCATTGCTCTCGACAGACCCGACCCTCAGACCCTCGGTGACTCCGTAGCCGCGGGCGCTGGGGCGCCGCGGCGCTGGGGCTCCAGGCAGCCTCCGTGCCTGCTCGCGCACGGGCGGCTCCTGCCGGGATCGAGCTCCTGGCACTGGGAAAGGGAGCTTTCAAAAACACGCATGGAGCTATCTGGGACGGTGAAACAGCTTCTGCAGCTGAACTATAGGTCACAGGTTTCTTCAGCCCCCGCCCGCCTTCAGAACTGCCAACCCACCAAAAGCGAAGGCAGGACGTACTAGTGTCTATCCGAAAACTTGATCGCCGCCAACTGCTGCCAGCCTCTGCGTCACGCTGGCAGGAAGCTCCTCGTGCAGCATCAAGACTCCCCAATTCTTGATAATGGTAAGGCAGGCTAAGATAATCACAAAAAGCGACAACAGCAGACTATTGGAGTCGATGTCTCCAGCAATCCCTCAGCAGCTCAACACTGAAAAGTTCGAAATATGTCGCTCACGAATCGCAGCCATTCGAACATCGTATGCACCGCCAGCATCTCTCACCGCAAATGAACTCAGAATCATGGTGCACACACGTGCCGCCTCGGTCAGAAACGCGGCGGCGTCCGTTCCGGGCCAAGAGAAGCTGGGGGCCTTTGCCCTGCGCACCGAAGCAGTCTGGCCCGCGTCGGAAGGCATATGTGGTGGGCTGGCCTGAAACCAGCACTTCCGGTGCTTGCACTTTGCGATGCCACCTGCAGGGCCACTTGCAAGGAACTCGCGCGATGGAACTGGATAATCACTTTGGCATCTGCCTCCTCGTAGAGGGGTCGCGATCCCAGCTGTGATGGGCTGCTGTGCCTTCAATCGTGCCGCATGCCATCCTTGTGCTGCGAAATCTGCACCTGAACGGACCTGCCTCGGACCACTTCGCAGGCTGCCCTCCTCACAACTTCGGCCAGAGACCAAGGATGACCAAAGACTCTCCTTGCTACTGGGCAATGGTGCAGCCGAGCAACCTGAGACGCTGGAGGCGTCAGGCTCGCCGAGGTGGCTGCTCTCGCCATCCTGCCAAGGGCAGCTGCAGCTGCTGAAAGATGGGACGGGTGGTAAATCTCCCTGCCAATAATAAACAAGATTCCCCATAAGATGCGGGGTCCTGCTTGGACTGCTGGAGTGCCCTGCACTCCGGGGTTCCTGTCACAACAGGACTCAAAGGCCATAGCCGGGCGGCACCCTCACAGCCGGGTCGTCCTGGGCCCAGGAAGGCGAGCTGCTCTGAGTCCTCAAGCGACAGCTACGACAGCCACGAGCGCTTCTCCTCCTCCACCTTTCCCATGTTCCCTCGCCTCGACCGTGCGACCAAATCCCCAGCATCAGGCAGATGGAGCACGTTTGTAAGGACCTGCCGCTGCAAATGGGAAAGTTCATTGATGCTCAGAACGTGTCTCTTCCCGAAAGCACATTGCGAATGCCCGGATAGTTTGGACTACTTCCCTCAACCTATTGACACAAAAATGCAGTCCAGCATCATCACATGGAATGCTACAGTCTCAGCTCTGCGGCATCTGACCATCGGCGATGACAAGGCCTCGTTATTCTTGGGAACTCCACTCGCCTGCAAGGAACACCAAGGAGTGGTAGCACATTGCAGCACATAATCGGCATGCGCTTCAAAACTCTCTTGAGCCCTGATTGGACCATACCTCGTACCTCGCTGAAAACACTACCTGCATGATAGGCTCGGAATGAGCGACTCCGAAAGTAGCAAATCGACAGTTGCAAGCTTATCAGGCGACAGTTAGCCATCTAGGTTCCAATCAGGGTGACCGTCGATTCTTTTCGGTTCGAGCCTCGGTGCGCCGTCTGAAGGCCTCGGCAGGCACTGCGGTCAAGCTTGCGTAACTAGAAAAGAGGGATTCAAGAGCTGAATAGCCTTTCTGTGCTGTCGAGCCACTTGCGCGCTCAACGCCTCCGACCGCATGGGCATGTCAGTGCCAGATACAGGGAGCGAAGACCTCGCAAGAGCAACACTCGCAGCACTCGTAAGTGTGTCCCATGCGTCCCAAGCAAGCCCCCACCCGGGCCTGAAGCTGCTCAGCGGTGCGCTTGCCTGCTTGCGCTTGGCACATCGCATTCTCGCGGGCATGCCGCACATGCCAACTCCATGTGCATCAGACGCAGCCTCACCCAGCTGCTGCGTCGCCACCCTCGTCGAAGCCGAGTGGGAGCGATCTGACCTGCCCGGCAAGCAAAACAGGAACTTCGCTTTGGCACATGAGCCACCGGTGCCTCGCGACCTTCAGATCGGAGATGGCCACCTTTGCGAATTGTCGCATGGGCTTCAGCATCTTCACGTTCACTGTCAAAAACATACGGGCTACGCTGCAGGTTCGAAAATTCGGATCTCTGCGCCGGCGCAGGCCATCACTGAACTTACGCGCAACCAATACAGTACAGCATCCGTGCCAAAGCAACTCAGGTGAAGCGCAACCGCATGCTCTTTCGAAGGAACAGCAAACACAGCTATGCATGCCTGCAGGTAAACAGCTCCAGGAAAACTCAGACGGCGGGATAGGAACACGTCAGGACCGACACGGACTAACCATGACTAACCGAAACACCCTCCGATGCACACAACTATCTCCACTGATGCGCTTGAAACACTCTGCAGCACTGTGAATGTGGCCTATGCCGGCAGCTGCCCATACACACGGATCTTCAGATATCTTCTGTTCTGCGAAATCAGGCACTCAGCTTCTGAGGCAGCAGCTTCGCGCGACGGCGATGCCTGAGCCAGCGACAAGTAAAAAAAACTTACTTCAGCTCAAGCGAGATCATGAACCTTCTTTTCCCGAAGACCCTAGCTGCTCTAGCTCACATCTGCCCTCGCAGCAGGCACCTTTCCCTGCAAACACACCAGTACAACATAGTACAACTCCGTGAGCTCAAGTGCCTCGGTGCGCCGTCTGAAGGCCTCGGCAGGCACTGCGGTCAAGCTTGCGTAACTAGATGAGAGGGATTTTAAGATTTCTGTGCTGTCGAGCCGCTTGCGAGCTCAACGCCTCCGACCGCATGGGCATGTCAGTGCCAGATACAGGGAGCGAAGACCTCGCAAGAGCAACACTCGCAGCACTCGTAAGTGTGTCCCATGCGTCCCAAGCAAGCCCCCACCCGGGCCTGAAGCTGCTCAGCGGTGCGCTTGCCTGCTTGCGCTTGGCACATCGCATTCTCGCGGGCATGCCGCACATGCCAACTCCATGTGCATCAGACGCAGCCTCACCCAGCTGCTGCGTCGCCACCCTCGTCGAAGCCGAGTGGGAGCGATCTGACCTGCCCGGCAAGCAAAACAGGAACTTCGCTTTGGCACATGAGCTACCGGTGCCTCGCGACCTTCAGATCGGAGATGGCCACCTTTGCGAATTGTCGCATGGGCTTCAGCATCTTCAGCGTTCACTGTCAAAAACATACGGGCTACGCTGCAGGTTCGAAAATCCGGATCTCTACGCCGGCGCAGGCCATCACTGAACTTACGCGCAACCAATACAGTACAGTATCCGACAGTTGCAACAACAGATGTGCCAAAGCAACTCGGGTGCTCTTTCGAAGGAACAGCAAACACGGCTATGCATGCCTGCAGGTAAACAGCTCCAGGAAAACTCAGACGGCGGGATAGGAACACGTCAGGACCGACACGGACTAACCATGACTAACCGAAACGCTCTCCGATGCACACAACTATCTCCACTGATGCGCTTGAAACACTCTGCAGCACTGTGAATTTGGCCTATGCCGGCAGCTGCCCATACACACGGATCTTCAGATATTTTCAGTTCTGCGAAATCAGGCACTTGCCAAGTCAGCTTCTGAGGCGGCAGCTTCGCGCGACGGCGATGCCTGAACCAGCGACAAGTAAAAAAAGCTTACTTGAGCTCAAGCGAGATCATGAACCTTCTTTTCCCGAAGACCCTAGCTCCTAGCTCACATCTTTCCCTGCAAACACACCCGTACAACATAGTACAACTCTGTGAGCTCAAGTGCCTCGGTGCGCCGTCTGAAGGCCTCGGCAGGCACTGCGGTCAAGCTTGCGTAACTAGATGAGAGGGATTTTAAGATTTCTGTGCTGTCGAGCCGCTTGCGAGCTCAACGCCTCCGACCGCATGGGCATGTCAGTGCCAGATACAGGGAGCGAAGACCTCGCAAGAGCAACACTCGCAGCACTCGTAAGTGTGTCCCATGCGTCCCAAGCAAGCCCCCACCCGGGCCTGAAGCTGCTCAGCGGTGCGCTTGCCTGCTTGCGCTTGGCACATCGCATTCTCGCAGGCATGCCGCACATGCCAACTCCATGTGCATCAGACGCAGCCTCACCCAGCTGCTGCATCGCCACCCTCGTCGAAGCCGAGTGGGAGCGATCTGACCTGCCCGGCAAGCAAAACAGGAACTTCGCTTTGGCACATGAGCTACCGGTGCCTCGCGACCTTCAGATCGGAGATGGCCACCTTTGCGAATTGTCGCATGGGCTTCAGCATCTTCAGCGTTCACTGTCAAAAACATACGGGCTACGCTGCAGGTTCGAAAATCCGGATCTCTGCGCCGGCGCAGGCCATCACTGAACTTACGCGCAACCAATACAGTACAGTATCCGGCAGTTGCAACAACAGATGTGCCAAAGCAACTCAGGTGAAGCGCAACCGAATGCTCTTTCGAAGGTACAGCAAACACAGCTATGCATGCCTGCAGGTAAACAGCTCCAGGAAAACTCAGACAGCGGGATAGGAACACGTCAGGACCGACACGGACTAACCGAACCAATGGGCTTGAAACACTCTGCAGCACTGTGAATTTGGCCTTTGCCGGCAGCTGCCCATACACACGGATCTTCAGATATCTTCTGTTCTGCGAAATCAGGCACTCAGCTTCTGAGGCAGCAGCTTCGCGCGACGGCGATGCCTGAAGAAGCGACAAGTAAAAAAAGCTTACTTCAGCTCAAGCGAGATCATGAACCTTCTTTTCCCGAAGACCCTAGCTCCTAGCTCACATCTGCCCTCGCAGCAGGCCACTTTCCCTGCAAACACACCCGTACAACATAGTACAACTCTGTGAGCTCAAGTGCCTCGGTGCGCCGTCTGAAGGCCTCGGCAGGCACTGCGGTCAAGCTTGCGTAACTAGATGAGAGGGATTTTAAGAGCTGAATTGCCTTTGTGCTGTCGAGCTGCTTGCGAGCTCAACGCCTCCGACCGCATGGGCATGCCAGTGCCAGATACAGGGAGCGAAGACCTCGCAAGAGCAACACTCGCAGCACTCGTAAGTGTGTCCCATGCGTCCCAAGCAAGCCCCCACCCGGGCCTGAAGCTGCTCAGCGGTGCGCTTGCCTGCTTGCGCTTGGCACATCGCATTCTCGCGGGCATGCCGCACATGCCAACTCCATGTGCATCAGGCGCAGCCTCACCCAGCTGCTGCGTCGCCACCCTCGTCGAAGCCGAGTGGGAGCGACAAGGCCTGGAATTGACTCATAAACCGGAGTCACTAGGTCCCAGTTTCAGTGCGTTTGAAGAGTCTGCTCGTCTGCAACTTAGCAAGTCCAGAGATGTCCAGAGCCTTGGCAGCACCTCAGGCGATGCATCTGAAGAGGCCTCGACGAAGCCATGTGCTGCTGATTCGGCAAAGATGTTCGTCCCTACCAGGACATGAAACACTTGCACTCAAGAACTACAGTGCGGGAATTTGGGCATCAATTATTCTGGCCGCAGTAGTAGCACGCGGCAGCAACGGCGGAAGTTGATGCAGAAGAAACAGTGGCAGAGGCATAGTCGTCGTCTCATTCGGATGACCCCGATCGAGCAAGCAAGGGACCGAGAGCGCGAGACGGACCACTTCTAGAAAGTGTTGAGAAGGAGGCACATCCTGCTGAAGGAAATGCGTGACCCAGCAGGGCGGTCCTGATGCCGAATCGACGTCGTGACCCTGCCAAAGGATTCGACTGTGCCGGGCTTGGCTTCGGCACGGATTTGCTTAATGCAACGGCCTCACTACTCCCGCTCTGGTGCTGATCTAAGCAGCCCGAATTAGGACACCTGGACTATCAGTGACTATCAGATTTCAGGATGCCTGCAGCATGGCATGGCAAACGGTGGAATACTGTGCCTTGGCTCCTGTGGCAGCATCTGCACCTGGAGCTGAGGCAACATGAGGCAACGCAGGTGCTGAATGATGCACCACCACCTGTACCATGTTCCATGGACCTTGCATATAAGGCATCGACAGTGCTGTCCGCAGCAGTCCATGAGGAGGTCTGCACAAGTCAAGGTCAAACCGCCCGCAGCTGTGTTCAACTTCGCAGACGGGCCTGCCGAGGTTGTGCAAGCGCCTCTGCACGGAGAGCAGCCAACGCAGTCGCAGGCGCACTATTCCTCGGCACTCCGAAGGATGCCGTGGCAGCGTTGTCGCGATGCTCGATGGCCAGGTTGTCCATCACCTTGCTCTCACTGTGTGGGAGCGTGGAGCTTTCGAGCCCTAGTGCCCTGATGTCATCTTCGAGCTTCGCCTGCGCAGCTGCTCGCTCCGCAGTCAAAGTATTGTAGCTCGTCTGGTGCATCGAAGACTTCCTTCTTGCACTGCTGGGAGTACTCGGGCTTCCATCCTCCAAAGATGACGAGGGCGTATGTCCAGTGGCAAAGCCAGGACCATTGACCCATCGCTCCGGCTCCATCGGGTGTCGCTCTTCCGAGGACGGCCTCCCCACGCCTTCCATATGATGCCTCGCATGTGGGGCTGTGGGCTCCTGGGCTGCTTGGGCCGCCTGGGGCCTAGGAGAGCTCGTGACCTGGCTGTCTTCGCTGACTGACAAATAACCGGCGTTGCTGAGCCAGCCCTCGAGAGCTTCCTTTTCTGCCTGCAACCAAGTCAAGCGACTCATGGCTGCTTCTGCGAAGGGAGGCAGCACGGGCTGGGACGGCTGCGATGCTGAGGGGCTATGCGGCAAAGGCCCAGGATAAACCCCTAAGGTACTTGCCCATGGTGGCATCTGCTGGGCCAAGGGCTGCGTCACGGGCTCCAGGCCATCGGCGACTGTGGGCAGCTGCCTTCTGGGACTCGCCCTCGTGGGGCTGGAAACGGCCGTGACCGGGGGACCGCGAATAGAATGGGCAGGAAAGGACCTCAAAGGCCGATGGGCTTCGGCCGAAGCCCCGAGGCTTTCGTTCAAGGCCTGCGTTTCTCGCCACACTGCGATGCCCTCCGTCATTGGCTGTCCTTCGTATCGTGGCGACAAGGGCCGCTCGCAAGACGAGGCCGCCGTGGACCGCTTCGTCTCGGCGGGAGAGGTCGCCGTGACCGTGGCCTTTGTGGAAGGAGAGGCTTGAAGGCTCTCGCGAAGCGTCGAGCCAGCCATGCCAGCCTTCCTTGACCGTGCAAGGCGCCGTGAACTTGCCCGTTGGGGGCCCTCCTGAGCTTGCAAAGATAGCCTTGCCGAGAGCTTCTCCCGGAGTTCTTGCACCTGTCTGCTGATGTGGCCGTTCGCGTTGCTCAGACTCAGAGATTTGTCCGGCGTTGCCATGCCACGGCCATTGAGCAGCTGCCCGGCATCTGCGCCCCTGAGAGCCCAGACCTGCCAGGCACCAGAGCAAGAGACGTGACATGCGCCGACCTCTTGCCTGCCTGCCTGCTCTAACTTCAAGGTCTATGCTACGGATCTTCTGTCTCGAGAGTCTAGAGCGGAGCTTCTTAGTCGTTCTCTGAGATCTCTCAGCCTTGACATCGCGAAAATGATAAACAAAACAGAAAAATGTTCAGTTTCCCGATAGTGCAGTCTTGATCTGCCCACGTGCATTCCTCGTCCATTTTGTACGTCTTACTTGTGGCGCTGGAGGAAACAATCTGCTCCATTCTTGCTTGAGTTAAGCCTCGCACATGAGCTAGCAAGATGCTTCCCCCAACTGCACCTGCCAGGAGCTCATGTCGGCCCGCTCTGCTGCCACCATCGGAACGTGGATATGTGCTCGGAGCTTCTTGTTTGAAGGGTCTCCTATTCTGTCTCCTGGACATTGCTGTCGACCGGCTTGATACCGACACCTGGCATGATTCAGCAAAGTTTTATTCAACAATTTTCCTGTAGTTCTGAGCCACAGGTTCCAAGAGGGCTCGCAAGACTTGGATTTACGTGTCAAATGCTTCAGGAGAAGGATGGGCTTGCTGTGGCTGAGACGCTGCGCGGAGCGCGCTGCTCCTGCGGCACAGCCAGGAAGAACTCCAGACCTCATGGATCGCTGGGGACCCCTCTAAACCCTCTATATATCTCTACTTGAAGGTCAGGGTCCTGAAAGTTTGAGGCCGAAGCCTGTGAATTTGCCAAGCCGCTGGATCACGGCGTGGTTCTGCATTGTCAACTCTCGCCTGCAGACACGGATCAACTAGCGGCTGCTGCCAAAGATTACCAGTATTGAGGGAATTGAAATCTTGGGGCCCGGACGTGGGGCACACGCAGAGACCCTGCGGGGCTCTCTTGTTGACGTCAACGTTTGCCAGCATCTGTCGGGACGCGGGAGCAAGCGGGAGCACCAACAATGCAACGGCCGAGGGCGCCACCGCCAAGGCAAAAGCTGCGGTTTTTCCACTGCCATTGCGGGCCTGAGCTGCAGACATGCATGAAAGGGCTCACCTCCCCGTTGCCATGACATCATGAAAAAGCTTACGGCGCCGGCCTGCCCAATGATGTTCCGACCCTTCATCGCAATTGGCAAGGCCAGACCCTGAATCTTCGATGGCTTGGTAAAGCCCATCTCGAAGATACCGTCCATGATCTCCTGAACCAGGCTTCCGCTGCAAACCCCTGGACAGACAGCTCGCACTTGCAGCCGGTATCGGGGACTCCTTGGACAGTTTGAAGTCATCCCAGCAAGTCATCGGGGTGGCGTCGGTAGAACCATCCTTCCACCAGGCATACTCAAAGCACTAGTAGCAGCAATAGCAACAGCAACAGTAAGTGTAGCCATCGTCGTCGTATGGTGACGCCGTCGTCGTAGTAGAGTGGTCGCCGTCGTCGTCCTTGTCGGAGTCGTTGTCGCTGCAGCCGCTGTAGTCGCTGTAGTTGTTGCAGTCGTTGCAGTCGTTGTAGTAGTTCTAGTAGTTCTAGTAGTCCTAGAAGATCTAGTAGCTCTGGTAGTTCTCGTACTTCTAGTACTTCTGATACTTCTCGTACTTCTAGTACTTCTAGTACTTCTAGTAGTTCCACTAACTAGCAGTTCTAATAGAAGTTGTATTAGTAGTTCTGGCAGTAGTTCTATAGTAGTAGTAGTAGTAGTCGTCGTCGTCGTCGTCGTCGTCGTGGTAGTGGTAGCGGTCGTGGTAGTGATTGCGGTAGTGGTAGTGGTAGTGGTAGCGGTAGTGGTATTGGTAGTAGTTGTCGTCGTGGTGGTAGTATGTAGGAGCAGCAGCGGCGGCAGCAGCAGCGCTGTCCTCTAGCTGGACGACGATCTTTGCGGTGGCCTCACCCTCCAACCGGTTGTCCTCTTTCCTGACGCAGCTCTTGAAACATTGAGACACTGGCTGCGCCACTGATACCGCTTCTGCTAACAAGCCCTTGCTGCTAAGGGCTCAGGACTGCACCCAGCGAGCTCTTGTTCTTCGACGGATTTGGTGCTGCCATTGCTCTTGCCTCCACCGGATGACAAAACTTGAAACCAGACCAATCACAAGCGCACTAAAGTGTTTGTTGCGAAGCGGGTTCAATCTGGCATCGCGACCCCTCAACGGACCCTGTGTGCCCAATTGCCTGGAGCCGGAGCAGGAGCTGGCTGCTCGCGGATCTGCTGCATGGCAGAATTCAGCATCCTCTGTGTGGATCGAGGGTTCCTCTTGGGCCTTGGGGCGCTTCATTCTCATTGCCTTTCGTAACCCTTGATTTCAACCTCTACCTGCAGCAGCAGAACCCTGCTTTAGACCACCCCGAACGCACGGTGCTTTGAGGATCGGAACTTTGCATTCCCGGTAGATGGGTCCTTGAGCCATTCAAGCTTCTGGTGTTCGACTTGATGTAGCCATCTCCTGCAGGTGAGGAATTTGTCGACAGTCCCAGACACTTGAGCAACCCAGCAACCTCCTGCAGACTTGCTCCACGGGTCACCTGCGTCAGCACAGTTACGACTCACCCAGCCGTTGAAGCAAAAGTCTAGGCGACTGGCCTGCATCCCATGGGTCGCTGCCAGCATAGCTTCCTGCAGATGACTTACAGACTCGGAGCACTTGTGCTTGCGCGAGACCTTGCCTGACTCGCCCTTCTTGGACCACGGGTCACCTGATTTTGAGCAAGGGAGCCATAAGGGACACTAGAGTTGCAAGCGCTGCCTGCGTCCCAGGGATCCTCCTTGGCCTTGTGTTGCGACCGTGCGGCGGCCTTGCTAGCCGGCTTTATCGCCTGAGTCAACGAAGCGGTGGACCCATGTGCTGTTGTCATGCACCTGCGACTGATTCCTTGCACCTTTCCCTGCACCTTCGGATGCCTGCAGGATTTCGAGGCCCAGACGCCTTGCTTCTCATCCTCCAGACCCGGCGGAAGCGGAATTCTGCCTGGCGCAAAAGCCGCCTCAGAGAATCCGCCGCAGCAGCCACAGCGTGTCGCGTGAAAGCCAAAGCAAATCCAGGCACTTGGCCATCGCAGCTTCCCATGGAGGCAAAAAGCTGTGGTTTGTTACTGGTAAGGATTAGCTGATGGCGTGCTGCTGAGCTGTCGGTGAGTTCAGCAAGTTTTCGGCAACTTCGTGCGAGGTCCACTGTCAAGTTTTGGATGCTAAGCATTCTGAATGAGAGCTGAAAAAAGGTCTCAAAACTTTCCAAGGTGTTCATCCTGCAAGTGCTGTCGGACGCTGCGGGGAGTTGCTAATCACTCTCTCTCGTAGCTCTCCTGCCAGGACATGGACTTGTCGCAGTCAAATGCCCTCATAACTCTTTTCTTGGAGATATCTGCCGTCTGAAGCATCGATGCGACTTCAGGCAGTGGTGCCGGCCACTAATGCCTGGCAGGATCCAGGCCCTACAATTTTTGGACCCACAAGACAAGCAGATCGCGCACCTCAAGGATGTCCACACCAGTGTTCAAGATTTCTGATGTCTCTTCCTGGCACGGTACAGAGACGAGCCCTGTCCGCCACCATGTGCACAGTGTTTTGACACTGCTTGAGAATCCCCCATGTTCTGACCTTCTCGCCAAGCTCTGCAAGGAGCTTTGCCTCCCGAGCCTCGGCAAAGTGGAGTCAGCAGGCTTGGAACGCAGCGGCATATGGATTCATGGACGATGAAGTGAGGAGGGAGGGAGAGACTTGAAGAGTGTGCATCGGAGCTAGAGTGAACACAAGAGGGAAGAGGGGGAGAAGGAGAGAAGAAGGGAGGGAGGGAGGGAGGGAGGGAGGGAGAGAGAGAGAGAGAGAGAGAGAGAGAGATTAGAGACCAATCCAATATTGCAAAACGTTGGCCTGAGGTCTGCCTGTTGGACTGCGGGTTTCTCTCGTTTCAGCGGCCATTGCCATCAGATGAGACCGACGTGCATTCACATGACGATTGCATCCGACGAGCCATAGCCGAGTGTGTGCACTAGAGCAGTCGTCTGCATGCTGCAGAGGCAGCCGGTTAAATCGCTACTTGGGGGTGGCTCAGCACGCCAGCGCTGGCCTCTGGCCACAGCCAAGCCAAGCTACGAAACATGTGTTTCAATCCTGTCTGCATCTCGAGTACTTCTCTAATTGCATCGGCCACGAGCTGAATGTAGGTGCATGCTCGAAACATTTTGACGTATCTCCGCTCAGAGTGAACACATCTGTCTGATGCCAGCAGTGCACGACAGCTGTTCAGTTTGGGCACCGTCAAACCCCACGCTATCGAAACGGAAGCACCCACAGGGGACTGACGATCTCGAAGGGTCGCTTCCAGACTTCCAGGGATCAGTATAAGAGCCCTCAGATCCGTGGACCCGGCTTTGAGCAGCCTTCCGCACCAGGTAAGCCAATCTCGCCTCACTGCGTCCTGCACGAGATGCATCCAAAGGCCTCTCCGTGCAATTCCTAAGGTCAAACAAGGACACGGGAAATGTAAGTTGCGCCACATCTCAAGAAATCATCAACCAGCACAGGCAACAGCAGTCAACAGTTACATGCTCATGACGAGCAACGGCACGGCCGCATCATCGTCATCACCACCAACAGCACCACCACAACCACCATCATCATCATCATGCTGATCATGATCATGAGGGGCTCATCTTGGGCTCATCGTGACCCCAGTAATAACTGAAACATTGCGCTTTGCAAAAGGGATCGTCGCAGATCGTCGAAACCTGCCGCATGCTCTAATTTACACTTCTTCGGAAAGCGACAAAGAGCTGTGGCGGCAACCCTCAATGTGCTTGCCCCGGTGGTGGTAATGGGGGTGGTGATGGTGGTTCTGGCGCCATGGGCCAAGGTCGGCGAGCAAGCATTGCGAGAATGGTGGCAAAACTGGCGGTGGCAGTCGTTCGAGGAATGGTCATACTGATGACGCATCGTCAAAGCACTTGGAAGGTCTCCTTGGCCCACGCCCGCCGCTCCGTCAAGATGTTCTCCAACGTTTCTGAAGACTCCTCAAGAAGATCTCATCTAAGTCTTGAGATCCTCGAAGTCTCCGGCATCAAAGAGAGAAGGCAGAGCATGGCACGGTCCTTCAGCTTTTCTTGAAGCTCCTGCGACTCCTGGCGGCCAGACTTTCAAGTTTCCCGTAACTCAGACAAGAAGAATCCGGATGCACGGCCTGCCTTCTGCAGTGCCTCCTGCAAAGCCCCGAGGGCTGCCTCCACACGGTCTTACCGACTCTGATTCGGTTGCCTTTAGTCTGCGAGCTGTCGGAACCTCTCCAGGAGCAGAGGCTGCAATGGCCGCAATGTCAAGCACCTGGCTTTCTCCAGCGAGGATTCGGTGTATGACGTTAGGGATGAAGACTTCGTTGCCCAAAGACACCAAAGATATCAAAGTCAATCAGGTTCGTGTTGAATTGCTGTTGCAAACACTGCGTCAAGCCCGATCATCAACTTCCTGAGGAGCCAGTCCCAGCGGGCACACGCTTGGCTCGAGCATCCCAGCCACTTGGCGCCCTCAAAGTCTCCATACCTTGCAGGGCATGCGAAATACTGCCTTGCACAGCACCTGTGTGACTTATGATGAGAAGTGTTTCATCAACTCTGGCTGCTCTTCTTGCTACTTTTCTCGTCAAGATGATCACTCCCAGACGGCGCACGACCCAGGCTTTCTGCATGAGTCGCCAAACGGGGCCGGAGGCCCTGGCTTCGAGGCATTGAAACAAAGACACAAGTACCATTACCTTCAACTTTGACGGTTGGGGGTTGAGGATTTTGAGGCTTAGGGGATAGCAATGAAAGGAGTAGCAGCTGTAATTGCAACTTTGCGAGGAGTGTCACACGCCCACCATAGGATTCCCCCAACAAAACTACGACTGCCGATGTATCGCGCTGTGCCCTCAGAAAATAGACATGACATCACTGTGACATCACTCACATCACCATTTTCCCAAGCCCCTGCACTTCTGAGTCAACCCCCAAACCCGTGGCCCGAAATCCCGAACGCCAGGAGGCCAGCCTCGGGCCCGCCGACCGCTGGTGGCTCGGGCAACGTCGCCTGCCGCAAAACAATAGGTGGAGGGTAGCACCGGGGGTCAGCAGTTTATAAAACAAGACCAGCCGCAATGTGCAGTAACATACTTGAGATCTGGGCTACGACAGCGGGAGCAGCTTCGGAATAGAAAGGGACCAGCGCGAGCTGGTCATTTTCGACGAAGCAACGCAACACTCACTATTAACTTGCATGTACATGGTGAAGAAATTTTCCGATCTGAACGACCGCATCCGATCATAGACATGAAGACTCTCGCATTATGGCAGCAGAAAAACCTTTCGGGAACATCGCGGATTCTGTGTGCTCTTGGGAGTTCTTGTCAAATATCACACTGCGGGAGAAGAGCCTCTGAGGGGGGGTCCTGCAAGGGGGGGGAGTCGCCCCCCCCTTACCTCTACTCTACATCAATTAACGCAACGAGCTGCCGAATGGTGAAGGATTCCAGCTCAGCGCCTTCGTATAAGACCCCTGGAAGAACCTCTCTAGTGCTGCTGGCATATTCTTGAGACACGGCTGTCGCGAAGACTCGCACGTCCCGGCGTCCTCCAGCTTCTTCTCCAAGAAAACCAGCAGACTTCTGCACCTCAGCACATTTGCTGGAAGCTGGTTCTGGTGGTGAACAGTACCCGACTAAGCCAAGATGCCATAATGAATCATAGGCCCAAAACTGCCGGCTGAAGCCTTTGCGATCTGTGTCTGCTTGCGACACACTGGGCCAGCAGCGTTTGCAGGGTCGATGGCGTCTGACATGACATGCAGGCTTTAGCAAACGACTTCCTTACACAAGCCCGACGATATCAGCAGAAGTGGCCCCCGAGGATCGAAAGCCTTTGCCTTGTCAAGAAGCTCTTTCACAAAGCCTGCCAGAAACTGCACAAGGCACCACGAAACGCGAACTCGGCTCGCTGCAACACCGAACGGCTGGCGATGTGCCTCTGTTGACGGCATCGATCTTCTGCTTCTTGGCAGGCTGCGTCTCCTCTTTGCGGAAGTATTCCTCACAGCAATTTCCAGGATTTCCTCGACGTCAGAACTTCATGCACGCAACAACCAGGGTAACTAGAGCAAACTGCAAATTGTCCTCAGCTTGCGCGGCACCTGCGAATTCAGAGCTGCGGACATGCTTCTCGCATCGGGTAAAGGTTGCCCTGGCCTTCGTTCTGCACGCTGAGCCGTCTCAGCCAGGCAATGGCAGTGCGCGGCACGGCGCGGCGCTTGGCTTGTGCGGGCGCCACGCCGTTCGAGCCCTCGGCAGGTAAGGTCTGCTCAGGTCTGCTGTGTCTCTATCCTGGCATCACGGGAGTCTGCAATTGTCTGCCCCTTTCCCTGCCTGGCGCTTCGGCGGCGGCCTCACCACGCCGAGGATGGGATCTCCCTGCACACGGTGCGGTGCGGTCTGCAACGAATCTGCCGCTTGCTCTCTGAAAAATGAGAGCATTGCATCCTCTTTTCTACGAGTCGGACGGATGCTGTCTCTCCGGCGGTGGCCACTTCTTGGGAGTTCTCGGATGCTGGAATTTGCACGGCAACAACCATTCTGCTGGCGTACTCGGCGTGCACCTCGAAGTTAGGTCACCATGAGGAAGGTCGGCAGCATGAAATGATGTCTTGGGGACCAAGACTGGGTCGCTAGGCATAGGATTTCGCCTTGTTCTTTGGAATGATCACCATACCTCTGCTTTCCTTCGCCCCTACACCCAGGATGTCGTTCTCTTTGCGTCGTTTCTTGGCCAAGAGTGCTTCCTTCTTTCGCTTGGTAACACCATCCGCAGACATTCCTCGGCGTTGCTGCGTGGCGGACAGCGAAACGCCAAGTAACTTCTCTTCCGCGAGCCTCCGCTGCCGCGCGGCCTCCTCAGCCTTCTTCCTCCGCTGCAGAGAGGCGTACGGCTCATATACTGGCTTGTCTGGTGTCCCACCAAGAGCGCGGATCTTTGCCTTTTCATATTGAATTCGCTCGGACTTTCCGAGCTGCGGCATCACGAAATTCAAAACATCTT